GCATCAGAGTTGCGAGTGGAAGGCTATACAGACGCAGATTTCCAATCTGACGTCGATGATAGAAGTTCCAACTCCGGATATGTATTCACTCTGAATGGTGGGGCTGTCAGTTGGAAAGCAAGAAGCAAAGTGTAATTGCTGATTCCACGACAGAGGCTGAATATGTCGCTGCAGCTGAAGCCGGCAAAGAAGCGTTCTGGATGATGAAGTTCATCACTGAACTTGGAGTGGTTCCAACCATTACATCACCAGTAACTTTGTACTGTGATAATAATGGGGCGATAGCTCAAGCCAAGGAACCCAGGGCACATCAAAAGAACAAGCATATTGACAGACGCTTTAATATCATTAGAAGATATGCTGCCGAGGGGAAATAAACATCCTCAAAAATTGCTTCAGCCGATAACGTAGCAGATCCACTGACAAAGCCAATGTCTCAAATCCAGCTTGACCGTCATATGGAAAAGATGGTATAAGATACATGGGAAGGTGGCTTTGAGTGCAAGTGGGAGATTGTTGGAAGTATGCCCACAAAGCCACTCATTTGATGTAATAGCTTTTTGGAATACTTATTATGTTAAACTTTTATATGTTTAATGGAGGGGCAAATCTTATTGTTAATCACTGTTTATTGTATCATGTGTTTAAGCAATAAGTGAATCCAAGGAATGTATTTGTTCTAAGAGATAAGTGATCTAAGTGAGTTAGATTATCGAGACCTTTCTCTTATGTTCATTCCTAAAACGTTCCTAGCCATAGGATTGCCAATTGGGCATTGACAATCCGCTAAGGTTAGTATGTGTTATGTTGACTCAAGCGTGAGTATGACTAGTCTCAAGTGATTTGGTGTTGGACACTAAGACAGACACATAGGTGCTCGAAAGAGTAATCGAGTACACTGAACTACGATCAAATCAGAGAGTTCGAACATACATGTCATGTAAGAACTCTAAGGTTGCAATATGCAAAGTAGTCCTTTGACCTGAGGCATCATAGATGTCTAATGGTTAGGTCCTTGATCTTTGATCCTGTCAATGGCATTCCCTCGGAGTGTCCACGACATTGTTGGGGTCAAGCTATCTAGTCATGTAGGCATATGAATGTACAACAAGGGATCTCTAACCTTCCATGGTGGAGGAGAATACTCTAAGATATGATTCTAAAGTCTTTGGCCAAAGCAAATGAATATGACTAAGAAGAAGGATGTTCCAAATCATATTCAAGGGAATCATATAAGAAAGTATCACATTGGATAGTAGACATGAAACAAACTATCACTTAAACTATGTGATTAAGAGTATTGTATTAGAGAAGGACCGTATTGCATTGTAGTTGTAACTGGATAGGTTCTCCAACCAATTCTACTTAGCTTGGGTAACCATGACATGCTGCTAGGCGTCAACCATGGTTTGTGGAAGCCCTAATGGTTAGCAAACACTAATCAATGAAAGGGAGAATTGAAATGTGGTTTCAATTCATAATCGATAGTTAAGAGTAACATCGCCCACTGCCTCGCTAATTAGAACCTAATGGATCGTACACCGAGTAAGGATGTATGTGAAGAAATCAAAATGAAATGGATAAGCAATTAAATGGTTTAATTGAAGAATGGTCAAGATTAATTAATTAGTTAATTAATTATACGAAAGGTTCATATTGGGCTTATATGTTGGTTTTGGGTTTCGGGGCCCAAAAGCGTTTTGGTCCAAAAGGCCCATTATGTTTAAGTTGTATGACAACTAAAACAAAATGGGCAAATAGCCCAATAACACCAAGGAGGCCGGCCATTAGGGTTGGATGGGCAAAGTTTGCTTAATTGCAAGTTTGCCACTCACCAAAGAAATGAAGTATAAATTCAACTTTATAGCTTTAGGGTTTGGTAAGTTGAAATTGGGTGAGACATTTTTCTCTCTATTTCTTCTAAGAGGCCGGCCATTAAAGGAAGAAAACATCTAGCAATCTCTTCTTCTTTTAATCATCCATATCATCTTCACAAGATACAACCTTGGTGAAGAGACTTAGAGACATCAAGCTTTTGGTGTTTTGGAGAACAAATCTTTTTTCCTCAAATCATCAAAGGAGCACTAAAGGGAGTAAAACACAAGAAGGATTCAAGGAGCTTGGAGGTGACTTGAAAGCCCTCCACTTGGGTGAATCCCTTGTGTAAACAAGGATGAGCTTCAAGGGTAAAGAATCACTAAATTCTTCTTTCTCTTTAATGTTGTTAAAGAGTTTATTTTGGTTCACCATATACTAGGCTTTGAAAGTCATGGGTTTTATTGAATTGTTTTTGGATGCATGCCTATATTAATGAGTTAATAGTATGCATATGTATTCAAATGTTCATACTTGTTCTAAGCTAGGACAAAATTTTTCCTTCAACCATGTACCAGACTACCTCTAAAGGTGGGCACGGTTCGGTTTAGCCCGGTTCCACCCTCAAATCAGATCGGGAAATATCAACGGTTCGGTTAGGTGTCGTTCCGCCTAAATATATTTTTAAAACCGTACGGTTAGTTCTCTTCATGTCGATTCGGGTTCCAAATAATAATTCATTTGAATCTTGCAAATATATATTTAGAGCACACAAAAAAGGCAAAGGATTTTTATAATAAAAGATAGTAATTAAATCACAACTAAGAACATGCAGGATCAATCATATAGAATGATAAACCACAATAAAAGAAGATTTAAAAATTGAATGACACCAAAACATTACAAAGTTAATGAATATAATTCGTTTAGTTCTCTGACAATTTAAACTATTTAATCTTGCTTCGCTTCGATTCATAACTAAAAAACAGATAGTGCAAGAAAATGTCATAAGTACATGGACAGGAGAAGTAGAAAAAGAAAGTCATATTCCATTTTTCTTCTATTTCTTATCTTAATGGCCATGGAATACATGATGCTGCTTTTAGGCGTCACATCATACGCATGGGAACGTATTCAAGATCATGACTGAGATTACAACGACCGTCTCCCCTTTTTGGGATGAAAATCCTCCCCGAATCTTCTTTGTTGAGATCTACAACATCAATTAATTATATCTGTTTATTGTATATTGTACTATCAGTTTTCGTTAAATATTATTTATATTTAATTTAAAATAAAATTTTAAAATAATTTTTTACTGTATTATGTACGATGAATGAATAGAATTAATTAATTCTCTTAATTCTAGGATCGTAATCTATCATTTTGGGCATGTAAACTTAATTATCATTAATTATTGACACTTCAAAAATCTTATTTTACACTCAAACTTTATATAATTAAAAAAAATACACTTGTAAGGAGTCTAAAATAAGATTTTAGAACGTTAACGACAATTCCCTAATTAAATTATAATCTTACACCTAATTACCTAACAGTCCAATGCCGTCAACTTGTTAACCAACTTGTCAAACACAATAAAATTAATGTCTACTGGGTCCATTTCGAAATATAAAAATATTTATGTGGAAGGTATCAATTAAATTAATGTCTACGGGGTTCATTTCAAACTATAAATTAATGTGATAAATTACAAAAAAATTATCTTAATTATAAATCAAATCATAATCTTATATGGCATGTTTTAAAACTTACAATGTCATATCTCATCCAACAAATTTATTGTAATATGAGACCTCAATCAGTTTTTATGTTAATTTTATACATTTCCTAACTCAACTGGATTAAAAAATTAGTTAAAATTAAATTATTAAAATATTATTAAAACATTTTTTTGTTAAATTGTGGGACCCCTTCCTAATTAAATTAATTGGATTTAACAAATGGAGAATTAGAGCCTAGGATTTCTGTAGGTAAGGAGAAGGTGAAGGTGGGAGGCGTCCGTGTCAGCCATGAGTGCAAAAACTGGTTTGGAGCTAAACCCAATGGAAGCCACCGCTCCAGTCTTGGCAATATGCGTGAGTCACGCAAAGCTCGATGAGTTGACTCGTCTCCTCGACCTAATCTCTGGGTACTGATGGATTCTCCTCCTCAATCCCGTCATCCACTCAAAGAACTCGGCCTCCTTCGCCGATTCCAAGAACTCTGTTGGAATTTACTCAAACGAATCAAATCCCAATTGGAACAAGTGGTGGCGATTTGGGATCGGAGAAAGCTTCGGGCTTTCCTCAACTGGGTTTGTGGGTTTTGGCTCAGGGGACGGGAGGCAGCTGTGCTGGGGTTATGGGGTCGAAGGGAGACCGGTTTCGATCGGGTTTCTGGGGTTTAGTTTGGGGTCTGGTGAGGTTCGGTGGTTCAGGAACATCTGGGGTTTCTCGGTAGCGATGCTCTGTTGCAGTATAAAAGGGAGAAAGGGAGAGAGAATACGGGAGGGAAGGGGAGACAGAGAGAGGGGGTGGGATGGTGGTTCTGGGTTCAGGCACGGCGAGAGAGAGAAGTGAAGGGAAGGATGGAGATGGGTGGGTGAGGTTGGTTATTTATTTATTTTTTGTTTGAATTTTTTTAAAATAATATTTTAAATCAACTAAAATAATTTTTATAATTAAATATTTAAATAGTTGTCTGACAATTTGCATTGACTGCCACGTCAGCAAAATATGGATCTGTATTTGTCACATGATCACTTGACGGATTAATTAATAAAGGTTTGATATTATAACAAATTCATAAATTAAGATATGACATTGTAATGTTTAAAATATAAGGTATGAGATTGTATTTCAAATCATAATTAAGATAGTTTTATGTAATTTATTCAAATTAATGTCTCTCAGGTCAAACTTATGATAGATTTTTATTTATATCTAAAACTACATTAATGAAATCTTTTTTGTTAATCAAAAGAAGATGAAAAGATATTTTTATCTTCTATCACAACAAAATATTAAGAACATTAACGTAATTTCATAAGATAAAATTTTGCTACTTTTTTTTAACCTTATCTACATATAATTTTATCATATCTAATTAAAAAAAAAAAAAACTCTTTGCCTCTCTTCTCACTCCACGTTCTCTCGCAATATATGCCTCTCTCCTTCAGTTTTAACAAGAAAAATAAAAAAGTTTAGACATTGTGTGTGGGAATATATTAGTATTCATTATTTTCCTAGCTTTACGCTTTCTGCGCAGAGGATGAGATACAGTTGGATGCTCTGAAAAAAAGGGAACCCGTACCGAACTTCGATGGCGAGCCTATGGCGGGCCGCGATGGGCCAGACGGAGCAGACCAACGACGGCGTCGAGTTCTGGTCGAACCCCGAGCGCACCGGCTGGTTGACCAAACAAGGCGAGTATATAAAGACGTGGCGTCGCCGGTGGTTCGTGCTCAAGCAAGGCAAGCTCTTCTGGTTCAAGGACTCCGCCGTGACCCGTGGCTCCACGCCACGTGGAGTGATCCCGGTGGCGTCGTGCCTCACAGTGAAGGGAGCCGAGGACGTCCTCAACAAGCAGTACGCGTTCGAGCTGTCTACGCGCTCCGAGACGATGTACTTCATCGCCGACTCGGAGAAGGAGAAGGAGGACTGGATCAACTCGATCGGACGGTCCATAGTGCAGCACTCGAGGTCGGTCACCGACTCCGAGGTTGTCGATTACGATAGCAAAAAGTGAGGGGCGGCAATTTGGTCAGATTACTGCTGTAGGTGAGTGGTGGTGGAGCTCCGCTCGTGTTCGTACGCCCTTGTATTTTTTTTCACGTGCATAAATATTCAGTAAAACTCTGTTTTCTGCTTTCTGTTTTCTTCTGTAAATGTATACAGATCGTATTGTGTTTTCGAATTTGCAGCAATTTAAAGTCTTTTTGTTTGTTAAAGATAGATTTGGATTGAAATTGAATTGCTTTCCATTTTTGGATTTTGGGTTTTTTGTTTAGTTGTTAAATTAAGCTGCTTTATTGCTAGGGTTTAATGGAATTTTATGATATATTTGAATTGAGCGTTCAAAGTTGTTGAATTGGGGGTAAATTTGATCTCATTTGGGTTGATTAATGTCAAGTGAGATTCTTTGTACCGTTCTTACGAGTTGATTTGGGATTGGAGCTCCGGAGAGAAACTTACCTACACTGGGATGCCACGGTGGCGGCGTGACAGTGCTTGATTGGCCTGGGATCCGGTCAGGACCACCACTCTGGCATTCCAGATGCAGGGAAGTTCCTTTCGGAGTGAGTTCAGGGTCCGGTGAATCTGTAATTGTTTAGATTGATTGCTGAACAAGTTTAGGTTTATAAGAGTAGTGGACTTGTCTGCATATCTACAAAGAAGTCATCAGATGTCATCTTCCCCAAAGTTTGATTGTTTTAAAGGTAAGGAAGGGACCTGCTGCTCTAGTAGTCGAATGCTTTACCGCCGGGATTTTAGATTGAGAGATTGGAAATGGAGTTGGGAAGTTCAATCCTCAAGAAAGTAACTGGTTTTGTTTGTCACTGCCGTATCTGTGCAGCCTGGAAGCTTGGATAGTGAAATGTCAATCTTCGAACGAGGTTAGATGTCTGCAGGATTACGATGGATGGAGGATTGCTACAACGAGTGCTCCGTTTCAATTCTTTATGGTAATCACAGCAAGCAGACAGAGATTGGTATTCCAAAAAGTGAGTATTTCCTGCTCCATAGGTGAGAGCATGCTCCTGGATGAGAGGGAACAAGTCCTTCATCTCTGGAATTTTAGGTCGAGGACCGGTTACCCTCTGGCAGTATTGGTAAATCGCAACTGCACGAAACTTATTTCCAGGCAGCAAACAAAAGCGAGTTATTTCACAAGCGCAGTGCTCCACGAAGTAGGTTTGGCATGTGGCTTCGATAGCCAAAGCCGTTTTTTGTTCTTAATTCTGAGGTTATTGAGCCATCTAAATCTTAACTTGCCCGTTTATTAAATTGAAAGGATATTAAACAACAGGAAGAAGCCTTTGGCTGCTGAAGCTTTTGCATAAAAGAAAATTGTGTACAAAGATGCAAGTACCGGGAGCTTTTCATTAAAGTTCCCTATTATAAACTGTGTGCATGATACTGTCACTGTGGGGGCACTTGAGAACTGCATTCCATACACAACTGGAAGGAACACACTCTCATTGCTTGACAAATGCTACCTCCGCCAAGTCGATGGCACGAGCGAGACCGGCAGCTTTGTTCTGGCACTCTTGGTTTTCATCCTCCGGATCACTGTCAGCCACTATGCCAGCACCAGCTTGAAGATGAGCAACCCATTCCCTTCGCCGGTTGGCATCTTTGTAAGAGTACATTGTGTCAAAACGGGATCCTGTTGTAAACACCATGGTCCTCAGAGCTAGCGCAATGTCCATATCACCTGTAAAGGAAACCCATCCAAAGCCACCGCTATACGGGCCACGCCTTGTTACCTCCAGCTCATCAATTAACTCCATGGCCTTCACCTGAATCAGATCACAAACGATGATGAAATTGTGTCGAAGGTGAACTGCAAAAGGGAAGAAAGTAAAGGCTAACTGACAACCTTCGGTGCTCCACTAACAGTTCCGACGGGCAATGCAGATCGCAGGGCATCCCAGCAAGTGAGATCATCGTGCAGCTCTCCCGTAACCTGCATGATGAATTGTGATGTCCTTTGTCACTCGCAAAGATTCTAAGTAATTTTCTCTACGGAACAATTAGAAACCGTGAACTGACACCAAACTCGATCAGATCGGAGATTCTCACCGTGGAGCTTATGTGCATTACATGGGAATACCGTTCAACATTCATCAATCTATCCACCTTCACAGAACCGTATTTGGAGACCTATATCACACCACATTACCAGCACAAGTTTATCAATCGAAATTCATAAGAAGCATCCAGCATGATGTGTCCTGCACATTAACGTCCACACTATTAGGTAATTGTTTAAGACAAACCTTTCCGACATCGTTTCGTCCCAGATCAACCAGCATGATGTGTTCTGCACATTGCTTTTCATCATCAAGTAGCTGCGCTTCTAACTTTTGATCTTCTTCGATAGTCTTCCCTCTTCTAACAGTTCCAGCTAATGGCCGATTCACAATCTTTTTCTGTTTGTAACATCATAATAATCATCATGTCAGAGTAGCTAACGATCGATTGATTAAATCTAGAAGTTTAAGAACTTATATACGAACTCAAAGAAGTTGAAGACAAACTAATACTGAAATTACTTGCCATATTTACCTTCTTTAGAGTCACAAGAATTTCTGGACTTGAAGCAACCCAAGATGCACCCTCGAGCCTATGTACGAAAATACATAAAAGTTTGTTTTTTTTTTTTTCGGTCACGATATATAAAAAAAGAGAAATTGCAACCCTGAACGGATGTTAGCCGTACCAGAAAAGGAAAGAAAAAAAACACAAGGAAAATCACACAAACCTGCAAGTAAGTCAAATATGGGCTGGGATTTACAGTCCTCAAGGCTCTATAAACTTCAAATGGGTCGGCAAATGTTCGACGTTCAAATCTCTGACTTAATACAATCTGGAAAATATCCCCTGCAAGTATATGCTCCTTTGCATGCGTTATTTTGTCCTTGTAACCCTCACTCGTCATGCTAGAATTCTTTAGAGGAGGACCGAATTGGCGAGTAGACAGATTCATAGATCCTGGAGGTAGCCTTGGGCTAACAATCGACAATCAAATCAATATGGTCCGATTGGACATTTTTGTTTACTCACAGGTCAATGCAATTCTATATGGAACTACAAAGCAAAACGAAATACAATGTAACTAGAGATAAGTACAGTAGTTACTCACAGGTCGAGGCCGTGTACTCTAGCCACTAAATCCTTCAAACGTTTTACTCCATCTGTATAAGCTTGCTCAACTGAGGAGTACCGTTCTAGCCTCACCCAATGAACCACATAAACTCTCTGAGATGAACAGAGTGACAAAAGCTCGTAAGAACCTCAACCATAACTGAGTCAGAGTAATTACCAATCAAATTCTGAGGAAACAATTCGTAGGTTGAAAATTGAAAAACAAATTGTACTTACATATGCACACCAAAGTTATAAACTTGTACGCTAAAGACAGTTTGCGGTTTTCACACATAAACATCGATACTTTATTTATTTCATGTGCAATGCCTGTAAGAAGATTGAAACAAGAGTACCTTATCCACGTGATCAAACACTATGACATCGTCGTAAAGCCCTAAATGCATGTCTGGAAGATTCCTGTCATCCTTGGGGGCCTTTGAGAACGGCAGTCTTCTTTTTTCCACATACCGAACTGTATCATACGAAAAATAACCTACCCAGCCACCTGTTCATAAACGGTTTATCACTAAGTGTGTTATCGGAAGCATAAAGAGAAACTACTATCGTTAGCATTACAGGAAAGTTACAGCATTAAAGAGAGAATGAACAAAATGGATCCTAGTAGTCCATTCTAGTTAATGATGAGAAATAAATTAACTATAGTAGAAAGTATATAAATCCAGCATCTAATAAATTTTGGCTTTCATCTTCAACTGAAGGCCTACAATTGCTCAGAAATGCCACAGAGCTATCAAGGCGGTGGCTTTTGAAACAAAGTCTGATGTTGCACGTTACGAGATTTTTAACAAAGAATATGTACGGATGGAGATATATCTCTACTTTTTCAACATTACAAAGTAACTCCAGTAGTGCATGTCCAAGCACACATTAGAGTGGTTATCCTTGCATCCGTAAAATGAGACTTGAAATTGCTAAGTAACTCCAACAACTCAGTTTATCGGAAAGCTTTAGTCATTCAAAATTGACAACCAATGTACTTAATCCTATGCATCTAATGTCAAAATTCATTTAAGTTGTTCACGGAACAATATACCAATGTATTGTGTTATAATTTCCATGTATAATTACTCTGAAGTATTTATGTACTCAAGAATTACGAAAAGGAAAACATAAGCAAAACGGAGAACCATGAAAATCTCGAAAAATAAGCAACTATATCTTTGTACATTTCCATGTTAGCTTGAGCATAGGAGATCTAGGAAACCAATTTGGGAAAAACCAGCAGCATACAGTCTAGCAGAAAATATCTTCATCGCAGCTATGATATTTAGTAAGATCTTGACATAAAAGAACGTAACTTGCATCTTCACTTCTCTTACCACAAAATGCATCGGGAAGTTCATCGATAAGTTGGGGACTCCAACCCTCCGAGATTCTTCTAGGAATAACCATCGGATCCTCGACAAACTCCTCAGTCATGCGCCCTTCTTCATGATCCATTATCGTCACCTTATTTTCTTTTGCCACAATTTCCATTGTTGGTTGAGAACCAACAACGCTGAAACGCCCCTATTACAGTCAATGCAACACAAAATTACAATGTACAATTTACATAATACCCATCATTTCAAAACCAATAAGTATCAAATCATATTTAGCACAGTTTGATCGAAACCTGCGAGTTTTGCTCCACTGACTCAAACAGAAAGCTTGGAGCCTCTCGATCGTCCTCCTTAACCAAGCATCGATATGCAAGTACCGGAGTGAGCTGGTCAGAGAAAATACATTTGTAAAGAGGAACCAAATTTCCATTCTTTGAAGCTTCCACAAACTTGCTTGATTCAGTAACTGGAAAATTAGAAGGAAAAAAAAAATTACAGAAATAAAGAAATATAATTTAGAGAAGAAATAAATCATAAATCTAGTCCCTTAGAACCAAAGCTCCAATAAATCTTGAAATTTAAATAATTAGAAGAGAAAGAATCGAAATTAAAAACTTCAAAGTATTATGTTCTTGATGTTAAAGAAAATATTTGAAAATAATGGCATTAATCCATATAAATTGCACAAACAAAACAAATACCATTGAATCACAAGTTCTAATCACTAGAATTAAACCTAAATTAAGCACCAATCAACTGAGCTTAAATAAAGTAA